ATATATATATATATATTATATATATATAACATATATATGAATATACATATATATATATATATTATATATATTATATATATATATATTATATTATATATTATTATATTTATATATATTTATTATATATATATATATATAATTATATATATATTATATATATTATATATATTATATATATTATATTATATCATATATATTATATATATATAATATATATATATATATATTAATATATCATATATATTATATATATATATATATATATATATATATATATATATATATATATATATATATATATATATATATCATGCTAAAGTCAGCGTTACAGAAAGACAAGACACACTCCCACCCACGCTTAGAGCGCAACCAACATATCACTGCCAAGCCCACCCTATTTCCCTCCTGCCAGACCGCACACTTGGGCGTGGGTGGCGGTGAAAAAACGAGACGAGGGGGAGGGAGAGGGAGAGGGAGAGGGAGAGAGGAGAGGGGGAGAGGGAGAAGGGAGAGGAGAGGGAGAGGAGAGGGAGAGGGGGAGGGAGGGAGAGGGAGAGGGAGAGGGAGAGGGAGAGAGGGAGAGAGCGGGCCGGCGGATGGGAAATTTGATGTCCTTTAACAAAACCCGTCCGTATCAATATCCGATTTAATCACATCCCGTCCCCTTCCCATACTAAAACTTTTCCTTGTCCTCCTATTCTCATATGGTAAGCAACGTCACGTTATGAAAGAGAACAAATATAGATCTAAATAGTAAAAGACAAAAAAAAAACAAAACAACAAAGCGAAAAAAAAAACATAAACAGAGAAGACGAAAGTTGTACGCGAGTGCTAATCAACGATCAAACTTTTTTAACTCCGCCGTACCAAACAAACCAACACGCCACCAAGGAGGGCACAGAGTCAACACGACCACGGAGAGAGAGAGAGAGCAAACCTCACTCCCTTTCTGCAGCGTCACAGAGGTGCTCTACAGACCAAGAAGACGAAAGCGACGACGGGGCGGGGGTAGGGGGGGGTAAAAGGGCTGCAGGTATGGGCGATCTCTCAAAGATGATTTTCAAATGCTTATAGCCTGCCTTTTTCTCTCTCTCTCTCTCTCTCTCTCTCTCTCTCTCTCTCTCTCTCTCTCTCTCTCTCTCTCTCTCTCTCTCTCTCTCTCTCTCTCTCTCTCTCTCTCTCTCTCTCTCTCTCATACACACAAATCATTCTACGTACCGACCCATGTGAGAAAGCACGGTTCGCTAGTATCACCAATTTTCCACACTTGCCACGGGAGAGATAATAAGAGACAGGGTCTGGATGGGAGATGAGAGAGAGATGAGAAAGAGGAAAGAGAAAAGAGAGAGATGAAGAGAGAGAGAGCAGAGAGAGAGAGAGAGAGAGAGAGAGAGAGAGAGAGAGAGAGAGAGAGAGAGGAGAGGGAGAGAGGAGAGAGAGAGGAGAGGGAGAGAGAGAGAGAGGAGAGAGAAGAGAGAGAGAGAGAGAGAGAAGAGAGAGAGAGAGAGAGGGGAGAGAGAGAGAGAGGAGAGGGAGAGAGAGGAGAGGAGAGGGAGAGGAGGGAGAGGGAGAGGGAGAGGGAGAGGAGAGGGAGAGGGAGGGGAGAGGGAGAGGGGAATGGAGGGGGAGAGAGGGTGGGGTTAGGGAGTCTGAAGACAGGGTAACCGTGAGTCACTTACCCATGTGTGTGAAATGACACGATCCCCGTGTGTACCGTTACTGTTACCGATGACTCAACAATGTGCCAAGGCTAATCTGAGCTCTACATTCAAACAATGACTATTCCTTTTGACATGTATCTGGGGTAGCAAAGTAACTTTACTGTATTGTTGGGGTGAATGGACTACGAGTCATCTGCAGTCATCCTACAGTTTCTACACAATTTTCGACAGCCTTTAACTGAACTGAATGAAAGTACTTTTACCATCCTTGTGAGAAAAGTTACCGGACTTGCCTATACGAATGAGAGATGCAAGTTTCCTGAAGGATGTAGGAAGTTGGCCTCAACATCCACCATGCATCAGATGATTATGTAACAACACCAATAAATAGCATGCTGTATTAGATGTGATGTGTTGACAGGTAAAGGAAAGGGACAGAAGTTTGTTCTTTTGTGATGATCCAAAAGGTTTCTGATCGCATGTGCCATCTATTTGCCTCTTCAGGATGCACTGAGCCGTCATGTTGAGAAATGGCAGTGCCACAAACGGAAATGAGAGACCATTTGCTTTACCATATTTGAGGTTGATTATGAAAGGAGGAATGAGATGGTGGGTGGCAGGAGGGGAAAAGTTTAATAAAGAGAGGAGCAAGGGCAATACACAAAGTTAATCCTCCACTGGTATCTCTACTGGTATGGCTATGAAGCTTATCAGGTTATGGAATAATACTGAATATCTAATTCAACCGTAAGGATGAATGATGTCCATCAGCATCTTAATCACCTGTTATAATCAATAACTTTCAATAATAATACCAATAATGATAATGGTTAAAGTATTAACAAAAACACCAAGAGCTAAATGATATATGTACATTCTTAGGCCATAATGTGTGAATTTCACTGTATATCAATAATACCCTTATTTCTTCATAACATCTAAGGCTAACTGCACAACACATTTTATCATAGAAATGTCAAAATAAAGGCACTGTTCACCATAATTTTGGTTTATGTGTTTTGATCGGACAAAATGAACTGAAACTGATCTTGACCTTTCTTTCCTACTTGACAAATTTTGTTAAGTGATTATTTTAATCACTGCTACATGACGGGAAATTCCTCAACTGACAATTTTTCTGTGATCATTTAGGCCATTTGGAACTAAAATTTGTACTAACATAGGTAGGATTAAATGGTTTTGATCTTGGAGTAAGTTAGTGAAGAGTTTGGATTTGTTTATTTATGGACTAGGACTAAAGTAATTCAAAGTTCAGATTCTAATCCTAGAGTTATTCAAAGATGAAATTGTTTCTTAAACATGGGAAGAAATTATTTAAAATTAGAATTACATTAGCTAAAGATACAGGATTTGTTGGCGACTCAAAATTCAACTTCTGTAACTTAGACCTAAAATACTTAAATGTTAGGATTACAGGCTATTGTTGCTTACTAAATTGTGATTGAAAGTTGGGTTCTGAACTTGACAATGCGAAGGTTAGACTGTGACTCAGAAACAGAAGCATTATATCAATTGTTAGGATTAAGCGATTCAGTGTGATTGAAGTTTACTATCAAGTAATTCAAAGTTGTGCTATAAACACATGCACATACATAAACATATAACCTGTATCTACACACAAAAATAATCCTATACACATACAAACATAAAAACAAATAAGTAAACCTACATCTACCCCATTATTTACTCAGATACAGATACACATCTACCCCATTATTTACTCAGATACAGATACAGAGATAATGAGAAAGTTGATAAGACCCAAGGACTGTCTTCCATGCATCTTCCCTCCTTCATACATCACAACTCATCTTCAGAAAAGAGAAATAAGTGAATTCATTCTTTTACCTTAACTCTTGATTATAGAAGATAACATAAATCAATCCCTTTGTAACTCAGAAGCAGTGGCATTCACTTTGATTCTTGCATATGTCTAAATTACAAAAATTGTCTTTATGTGACAACAGGTTTATGTCATTAGGTAGGCAATTCAGATCAAAATACAAATCCAAAACATTTTCTCATACTGTATAGTTCCCCCCTCCCCCCCATAAAGAAATCCTGGATTCACCCCCCCCCCTCCATGAATGTATGCATACCACTGGTTATCCATCACTTATGGGGAGATGGTTATGAGCAAGTAGTTAAGGTAAAAAGAAGAAATAATGAAGAACAGAATTATCTAAATCATGTTAAAAACATTGCTGCCTCGTCAGTCCCCAATCATGATGTAACTAATCTTGAAGATTCAGATTTATAAACTGATGCTGGAATTTCCTGTACTTTTTATTTCTTGTAATTTTTCTTGTATTACAGCAATCATGATACAGCTGTCAGTACTAAAATTGCATGCGATCCTCGTTTCTGCAGAATCCGTCATCGCTATTGCATGAAATACCAGTCCACATAAATACCTATGAAATATGTAATTTTACTTCGCTCAGCAAATATCTCTTCATATACGAGGCTCTACGGTTTAACTGCGACACGACTACAAACCTACTATTCTATTTCAGCGCTTAATTCCTTATGGCAAGACCACAACAGACACGAAAACAAGAAATTCTGGCGTTGTCCATTTGACATCTTTATCCCCCAACCACTAATAAAGCCAGAAAATGACAGAATCACTACTCGCTACGCATGCAGGGAACTAAAAATTTCTTTCAGGGTTTCGGAAAACGAATGAACACCTCGAATGCACTCACCGCGGGCCGTTAATCATGCGGCACTAGCATGTTTGACAGAGTAAGGTGGTGTAAGATTGGGAAAGAAGAAACAGTGATGACAACAGACGACATGAGTGACGTCACGCCCCAACAATGAACTTACGAGGAATTTTGGCATAAATGTTTATTATTTTACTCTTTCCCGTTTCAAACTTTCTGTGACTTATTTTGATGAATACTTATATCTTTTTTATGTAAATATTTGGAAAATATCTTTAATGGCAGAGTATAGGCTATAGAATAGCGAAGCTACGCTCATTCGGAGTTTCGATATAAAACTGATTTCTTTTTCGTGTGCCTTCAAGTCCTGCGACTCATGTATATACAGAAATTTACCTGGTTCTGACTTATGGAAAAATGCTGGTGGTATAGTAAAATACCAGAGGGATAATTATGCCAAGAAAATTGGAAATTCAGCAAAACAATGCATTTATCCAGAATTTTGGCATAATTATCCTCAATCATACCAATAAGCTATCCCTGTCACGATAAATGAATAACATCCATATATATATTCCCAGCATAATTATGTAAAAGAGAACTAATCAAATAAAACATTTCCGAGAAAATTTGTACCACAATCATTCGCGAATTCAACCCGATTTGTTTACCAAGACCTGAAAGACTCGGAAGGACCCGCTGGAAATCGCTTCTTTTTCACGGGTAGATATGCAAATTCGTACTTTTTACGGTATTGCACCATCGAAATTAAGGGATGAGGACTCGAGGGGTGTCCTGTGGCCACGTAATAAGAGTGTCACGGCGGAAAAAGAGGTATAAGTGAATCAGCTGATCTGAGGTTGTGTCGACCATCGCTTATGAAAGATTTGGCGGGAAGGAAATAACTGAATTAACGAACGTTTTCATTATTGTGCCTTTATTTTCGTGTGATTTTCTCTTGTGATTAAATATTGTTTGGGTTTAGTAATTGTAGGTTATTTCTTTGTTGGAGGAATGAGGTTTATTTTTGTTGGTAATGCTATATAATGGTTGAGGAAGGCGGAAATGTCGAGTATTTTTTCGTTTCGTTGGGGTTTTATTTTTATCTTGAAATTCTGTTTTTTGTTTGTTTGTTTTTGCCACGTGTATTACAGTGTCCGCAAAGAACGACCGAAATTAACTATGAATTTGATATACTTGGGTTGTACTTCAGGATTTAATTGATATACGTCTAGTAATTGTGTTGTTTTTGCCTCATTATGTAACTAAGATTTTGTACTCCCAGAACTATAAATTTCTAACAGTAATATTGATTCATAATTAGGTACTTTTGCAGAATAGGGTGTCAGAATTTTTTCTATTATACTTTACAACCATCACCCACATTGTAAACAGTAAATTCAATAGATTGATCAATATTAACACTTTATTTATGACATATCAGGTCAACCTGTACCCAGGTTGACTTGTACCCTAGTCAACTCGTTACCTCCGCCTGGTAGACTGTGCATGCTCGTACTCAATATTTGTTTGTTATTAAATGAAGGAAAAATGATGTAAAGTACATAACAAATGCTTATTAAAATAACTATCAATTCATTCAAGGTAAATGATATGATCACCTCTCATGAAAAATAAAGTTCAAATTCACTAAAGGACTGGTACATGCCTATAGGTACAGATATCTATGAAAATCAGGTGAAAATTACGAGTTGACCTAGCCAAGGTTTCAAGTTGACCTGGGTACGAGTTGACTAGTAACCATCTTTGATATAGGCCTGTCAATCAGAGATCATTGATACGCAGATAATATTAATGTCATACACGACGAAAGGTTATTGGATGTGTAACATTTTTAGTCACTCAATGTGTCTGTTTTGTCTTGCGCAAGCTAGATGTTGAATAGTAAATTTCGCTTGCAGTGGTGCAGTTGCAAATGAAATATTGTCTCATTGAGTCCTCTCTGATAATATATCAGCAAGTTTGGAACTGTTTCAAGCTTTATCTTTCTATGTGGAAGAGGATTGTTATCCTTTGCTTGATTGCTGATGATATAGTGCCTGACACTACAGATGTGAGCATAATATTGAATAATTTTTTATATATGTAAATGGCAATGAAAATGTTTTAACATCATAGAATTTCCCAATCTTTTAATTTTGTGTACTGTGTAACTTGTGGGTCTTAGTTATAGGTGAAAAATTTGTCCAAGTAGAATCATGTCATGTGTTACTGGCCTCCACACAAATGTCCACCACCAGTATTCTGGTGTTAGAGAGCTTGGGCTGGTACCTTATTGCAAGGGTGCCTGTATGTTCTGTCTTACTGGAATAAACTTTGTAGAGGTTTGTTGACTTGTAGTGATGTATTTTGAGTCACTATGGTTACCTCTTTTTAACCCATTCGCAACTAGTACAATTTTGTAATAAGTTTGGCAAGGATATTGTACCCATTGCTCTGTGCCTGGGTTATTGTCTAGTTCACAGTAGGACCCCCTGCCACCATCCTGTCTGCTGGGAAATGGTTTCGTAACATGATGAGATATTACTTGTGGACATTGAGTTTTCACTATATGATGGGACAAGACCCAGCATTGATTGGATTAATATTTGAGTGCCAATATCATTCACTTGTGTATATTAGGTCATACACTATTGCAGGGGTGTCAAACACTCAGCATTCGTCCCACAGATATTTGTTTCAGTCTTGTAATCTGCTATTGTGCATGATTAATTAAGCAAGTTGTTCATTTGTTAGGGTTATCCCTTACACTCTTAGTTTTTCCTATATTCTTTTTTATAATGAATGAAATATCCCAATGAATGGTCTGTGGGCTATTTGTGTCTCCTGGGATAGTCATAAAGCTTGTGAAATTTTGATTGCCATGAAAGAAAACAATGTCAAGTACAATTTTTTTTTCCATTAATATTACTATTTAAAATCTGATAAGTAAAATAAACTTTACCTACAAATACATAATACCAGTTTTAGTAACATGATCCTGGGAAGCCCATAAGATGGTAGCTTTTGAGTTTGAGTTTGACACCCTAATGAGTGTCATCCCTATTCCTTTATATGAAATTATAGTCTGTTTGTATGTATTTTCATAGTCCTATCCAGAAGAGTCATCCACAATGCTATCCATTTTCCTGTTTTCTTGTTCTGTTTAACCATGAAGATGATTTGAATTCAAGACTGTTTAGCAGCATTACAAGTATGTCCTCTTAAGTTTTATAATAACTATTAGAAAAGTACCTCTTTAAACAATACTGCAATCTCTATGCTTTGATGGATAGCAAAACCAGCTAACCTCCACCTCATATATTCTTGGAAGATAGTGGTGAACTAGTTCCTTTGATCATGAATTGCCAAGAAGATCTACAACCTCCGTCCTCCCCCAGAATGTTTGACGGAGGCTGGTTAACTGTGGCTAGAGTTTGAAATGTACAACAGACATTCACCATGTGTATTGTGGCAAAGTAGAGGTTGAGTTGTTCTTTATTTGATGATGAATTGCCAGAGAGATCTCCTAGCTGCATGTAGAAAAGTCAAATGTTTCGAAGACATTCACATGGCTATTATTGGGTTTGGTACTGCTTTCACACTAATCATTGTTTTTTCAGTTGATGTAGTAGTAAATGTTAAGACATACCTAATGATGAACAAACACACAGAACCACATATTAAGATTACTGTATCAAGTTTACTTATTTTTGTTTTTATATCTTTACTTTATCTATAGTTTGGAATTGTGGTTAACAATTGATATCAAAATTATTAATGCTACTAACAACACTAACAACAATATGGAATTTGAAAAGATATTTCTGAAAATCAAGGAAAAGGGTAAACAGGTCAGATATAGAGGTAGTAATAGTTATTGATTTCTTGGTGCCTAAGCACTTTTGAGACCATTTGTGTGTAAATATAATGAATATAATGCATGGCACATAGGTATATGGAGCTAATAGGGTTTCTCTATTTTTGTCTTTTTGTATCAATTTTACGTGTAGATACAAATTTTACACATTAGTAGCTTGTTGCTAGACTTATAAAGGTAGTCAGTAAGGGGTAAATCAGAAAAAAAATTTAGTAATAATCAAAATATGAAGCTCTTTTGTTGGAGAATGCTATAGGGAGCAGGAAGATGTATGTGCTGGCAAAATCCTAGGGCAGCATGTATATTTTGGATTGGACACGAGGCCGATTTTAGTAAAAGTTTCATTTCATCATACGTTGGAACTGGGGTTCATAGGCTAACCTTGAGTCCATGGACCCCAAGAGGATCTGTGGATAGGTTTCAGTAGTTTTGGGATGATCACATGAAAGTAACATTAGTCTTTGCATATCAAATACTATCAAATCACAGGATTGTTTACTTTCAAGCTTAATGATACTTTAGATATCTCATTGCATGCAAAGTTGTGTTCATGTTAATATTTCTGGGAAGGGGGTCCATAGCTTTCATCAGAGTCTTAAGGACTCTAAAAAGAGAAAGGAAAGTTGGTAATGCAAAGTTTCAGAGGAGTGATGACAGTTCAGAAAAGACTGCTATAGAGCGAGGTTTTCCATGCGATTAGATCAAGATACGACTTGATAATTATTCCTAGATGATCATTCAAAATGAAGCGATAGCCCAAATGGAACACAGTTTTGAAAGTTGAGATGATTCCTTGTATGATGATAATTTGCTTGATTTTTTTTTTTTTTTTTTTTTTTTTTTTTTTCTTTTTTTGTCCTACCAATAAAAATGCATTTGCAGACTTGAATACATAGAGATGCCCTTCCCTATCTTTTTTCTTCTCTCTCTCTCTCTTTTTTTTTGGGGGGAGGGCTAGAAGCTTTCAGACTGGGAATATGGTATATAAGCATGGTATTAGAATGTTATATACTATCAAATGACAGGAAGTATAACATTTCCAATACTATCAAATGACAGGAGGTATAACATTGCCAATATTGCTAAACTATCAGGTGACAGAAAGTATTATAACACTTCCCAAATTGCCATTTCTAGGCATGGTGATAAAAACCAACCATGGAGGAGCGACTCAACCAAATGAGTGCTGTGCTCCAGGCCATGCAGAAAACTTTGGAGTGTAATATATGGTGAGTACCTTCAGCAATCACTTTGGTTAGTTAGAAGAATTGTAACAGCACTTTGGTTTTTTCATACTCTCAGTTTTCAGCTTTTCAAATTTGCATTGTTTTATAAGAATAACATCAGGCTGCAGATGAGATGTTATTGAAATTAGCACAGAGTTGCAGTGCTTTAAGTGGTTGAAGCTTTGGTTGAAGAAATGTATAGACTAGTTTGTGTATGTTTTTGGATTGTTTTACATATTTAAATTTTTTATTTTATCTTCATTTTATATGTATGCATATATTTTCAGATGTAAGAGAAAAGTTTCAGAATACCAACTTCACCTTAGAATTAGCTCATTTGCTCAAAGAGAAGAAAACCTGTATTCAGCATATCCACAGCACACACATCCTATTGATAATTTACTCATCCTTTCCAGCCTTGATTTGATGAACAAGCCGCTGACAACAAAATGCGGACACTCCTTCTGTTCAGAGTGTATTCATCAAGTGGTAAAAGGCCCACGGAGCTCGGCACAATGTCCTTTGTGTATGACTAACATCACTCGTCGTTCTCTTGGTCACAATAATAAAATTACTAATTTAGTGATTGCTGTGAGGAAGATAATTGCAAGCATTAAGAAGGATTGCTGCTTTGAAGGTGTGTATGTAAGGCCTTGTAAAGTTCCTCTCCTCTCCTCTCCTTTCCTTTCTCCCTTCTATATTCCTTTTTTTTTTTTTTTTTTTTTTTTTTTTTCCAAGGAATTGACCCTAGTTGAATTTTTATTCTTGGGGTTTGTAGCCTGTCAGTGGAGATTTTTTATAGTGTATTTTATGTGCTGTGTATGCGAATTTGATCGTTTTACCAGTCTATTATTAGACTGCTGATTTTAGTTTACTGTGGTAAACATATGCTCAATGCTTAGTTATTACATGTATGTGTGTGTTTGTTTTTGTTTTGATTGCTTATTTTTCTTCAAATGTGAAAAAGATACCAATATTAATTGCATACCCTTTTCATATACTTATACACGTGCACTGTATTATAGAAGAGCTCTTCTTTCACAGTAACGCCCTCAAAATATAGACCAAGACCTCGTCCTGTTATCAGTCCTGAAGATGATGATTCAGAAAATGAAGAGAATGACGAGCCGAGAAGAGGAACCCGCAAGAGGGGTGTCACTAGCCACTACAACCCTGAGGTGCATGTGCCGAAGCCCAGGGCCAAGTCAGCAAAGCAGAGAATTCTGGCCACAGATAATGGCCAAGGTGGGTTTTACCTTCTTTTTCTGGTTCTTTTTCTTCTTATTATTATTTCTCCTTCTTGTTTCCCCCCTTTCTTTTCTTCTCTTTTTTTTTTCCTTTTTTGTTTCATTGTTTTCATATATTTCTAAACCTCTTTTCCCATTATTTTTTTTAATTTCTCTCATTTTTCTCTTACCTCATTCTTATCCTTACCTTTCTTGTCTAAGTTCACTCTTTTTGTCCATTTTTGAAATTATTGCTTAGAACTTAGGATGTATGCTACTAGAAGGGCATTTGGTGTGAAATCCTAAACAAGTGGGTCTTCTTCACTTAGAATATGTTATGTATTTTAAGAGTGTGAATATCAAGTTTAGATTTCAAGGAAGATCTAAGGATGTTTTCTTTTTTTAAAGGAGTAAGGGAGGTGGGGAGTAATTAATTAAAAGATAAGTATGTTAGCAGAAGATACTGGCTTGAGGTTGTAAAAAAATCATATTGAGGAGTGTTTATGTTTATTGCTTTCAGTTTGTTGGAAGGAATACTTTCATAGTTATTTTATTTTAATTTTTCCTTTTTCTTTTTGTAGAATATACTGTATGAAGAAGATAATGAATATAAAATGATTTTGCATCTCCTTTGTGAGACATCAAAGTTTCCTTACCAAAGTTCTATATTACTGTATCGTGTATTTCTAAAAGTGTGTATTACCAAGATGCTGTATTTCAAATTATCTATATTACTGTATCATATATTTCTATAAATTTGCATAACAGGTCATACTAGATAGTGATAGTCTTATACATTTCCTTAGTATATACTGTATGTGGACAACTGACTTTGCTTACCTCCTCTTCCCTTTTCCTCCTCCTCCACAGGCTGTATTTCAAATTATCTATATTACTGTATCATATATTTCTATAAATTTGCATAACAGGTCATACTAGATAGTGATAGTCTTATACATTTCCTTAGGGCTGTCAACATTTAATGCAGCCCAAAGGCACTGAATAAAAATTTGATTGGTAATGCGCTTTCTTTTCTCTAATCTCTAATTCTCTAAATGTCTCTTTTCAGAGCTGAGTCTTCACACTGATGTGAGGTCAGACAGGTTTCTTAAGAGTGAAGAGGGTGGCACAGATCAAAACCGCGCTGTAGTGGATGTCATCTCCCAGGAGCACTCCTACTCGTCCCCTACCAAGCAGGAGCCAGTGGTGAGAACTAGTCTCATCCCAACCATAAGCCGAGGGAGAGGTGGTAGAGGGGGAGTGTCGCTGAGAGGAAAGAGTAAAATGACATCCACAAGTCTCAAGGGAAAGGCTGATGCTCACATGTCAGGGAAGCCCTTTGGGAATGGCATGAAAACTGGGCCTTCCACATACAGCACTAAGAAAGCTGAACAGCAATTGGAGAAGAATCTGTTATCTGTTAGCCAACAAGACAATGGCTGCATATTCCCTGGTGAGGCAATGGTGTCTGTACAAGAAGATACTGACCATTTAAGTAAAAAATTGGGTAGGGTAGAACCAGCTGACAAAGTAGCAAATTGGTTAACCACCAGTAGCGAAGTGGGATTCCGCATTGGGGTGACACAGTCGACAGACACTCTCTCCACAGAATCTGAGGACAATCAGTTATATCAGAAAGCTAAGGATAAAGGCCCCTCTAATTCCAAGCTTATTGAACCTAAGGTGAATGTAATGAAAAAGGGTAATAAAAAATTTATTTATCCTAATGAAGGCACAGAACTTTCAGAAAGCAAGAGTGCAACAACTACCTCATCTTCTCAGTCTGTGAAGAAATTTTTTAAGTTAAAGGTAAATGAGGTAGTTTCTTCAACATTAACAGAGAGCCACCTACCTATAGTGAAACATGATGCAAAACATGATCAGTCAATGCTCCCACAGGCAAGTTCAGATGATCCATATAGTTTTATTCCCAGCCAGAAAACGCCCAAACAGTTGAAGACTGTTGAAAAGCGAGGGCAGGAAGTCAAGTCAAGAGCAAGGGGGATGCTCAAAATGAGTCGTGGTAGAGTAAGAGGGAGAGGGAGAGGGAGAGGTCTGATCCAAGCAGAATCAAGTTCAACAGAGCCTGCTGGAATTTTTGATGAGTCCTGTGTAAGTACTGTTGATACAACTATGCTTAAACAGAGCACTCCCCTGGCCAAAGTGAATAAAATGAAACAAGATATTGATATCAGTGTGATTAGACCCCCAGATACTGTCATTAATTTTGCTGACAATGAGCCACTGCCATCCGTTATTGTACAGACTCATGCAGACATTGAGGATGACTATGGAATTCCAGACAGCTGTCCCGTCAACACAAAGGATGAGTTTGATGTCCTTGTGTCAGAGGCAAAAGATGTCTGCAAAACTACCCCTCAAGGTACTCAGCAAATTGATGGACCAGAAATAGATGCTGAAGCAGATCTCCTTTTTGTGACTCCTGCTCAGGGGCCAGACCAACCCCTTGACATCATTACAGGGAAGCCTAAATCTGCCGAGGATCCAAGCCAACAGGCCAACACTGAGGCTGGATGTAGAACCAAAAAGAAGCGGGCAAGTGACGACAGTGACAGTGGGAATGAGCGCAGTAAGAGAGCCAGAGTAAAGAAGTCCAGCAGCAGTAGTGGGTCAGATGCAGAAAGCACACAGAGTTCAAAGAAAAGCAAAACAAAAGCAGAAAAGGCCAAAGAAGAGGTTGAAGCTTTGTGTTCGATGTTTGAAGAGATTGAGGATCACACTCTAAGCACAGTATCATTGGTAGAAGCAGAGAAAGACAACAAAAAGCAAGAGAAGGAAAAAGAGGAGAGTATGAGGTCAAATATATCAGTATTTGATAAAACACTGGAAAACACCAAGCTAAATAGATCCATAGCCAGCACAGAGGGTGGTAAGAGTGCCATGCCGCCTCCCAAAGCTCCAGTAAGAAACAAGAAAGTCAAGTTCCACGAGAGTTTAGAAGAGAATAGTGCTCCAAGTACTTCCAAAGACAGTTTGTCAAGTGTAGCAACTAGGTCAGCAGGGAAAAAAACAATCCCTAGAATTTCCCACAATGCCCGTTATGCATCAGAAATGAAGTTAGTAGAACCCAGTAAGAATTTAGCTGTGTCTGTAAGTGTGAAAGACACAAAGTCACCTGGATGGTCACATGTAGCTGGTGCCAGGAAAGATTTAAAAACACGCCACACTAGCCTAAATATTACTGGAGGAGAGCAACGTAATATAAATGATTCAAGAACGGAAGGAGGAACATCTGTACTTTCTAGCAAGATAGCTCCCTCTTCTGAAGAATCAGAAGTCTCAATAGATGACCAAACCCAAGACTATGATGTGGAGCACCTTTGCTCTTCTCAAAGTAAGAAGGAGAGAGTCAAAAAACTCAAAGAAATTGTATCTCAGTTAAATAAACCTGAGGAGGAGAGTGAGACAGTTGCAACACATGGAAATAATGTTAATAGCAAAGAAACAAAACCTGCCATCAAGGAAAGTGATAGTGAGAAAAATAAACTTGGTGTCCAAGAATTGAACAACAAGGGAAGTAAGTCTGCAGTGAAGGAAATTAGTGGTGGAGAAATAAAAAACTTAAGCACTGAGGTCAGTAGCAAAAACACTAAATCTGCTGACAAAGAAGTAAGGAGTAAACTGATTAAATCTGGAACTAAAGATGCTTCTGACAAAGAGTCAAAATCTTTTGGAAAGAAAGAGGATACATATGAGGATGAATCAACTGTAAAGCAAATAAAGAGTAAAGAAAATAGATGTGACACAAAATTAGTTCTACCTCCAACAGCCTGTACTACAAGCATTGAAAGCAAAGCAGCACAGAAACAAGGCATAGATGAAAAGCCAAAGGAAAATAGCTGTCATTCATCAGCACTCCTCAATCCAGCAGAAACTGAGCCTTTTGAATGCACTGAAGAACCTACAAGGAAGTCCTCAGTGAGTAGCAGTTCCTCAGACTCAACTTCAAATCAGGTAAAGGGAAGATTAAAGAGGCCAACCCGAGCTGAACAAAGAAATATCACCTCAAGGCTTTCCAGGACTTCTGCCAGACAGCTAAACTCAAGCTCATCCAAGTTGTCTAGAAAGACCTTTTCTCTGAGTGTAAACACCCAAGATCTATCCACTTTACATAGCGACTATGAGATTCTCAGCTCGCTTGAAGATACTGAAAAACCTAACTGTGTGCCGGATCCATCAGGACAAAAGTCAGTGACTTCGAGCAACAAGGTGCCAGAAGCTCTCAAACCAAAGAAAAGTGCTTCCACCTCATCAGAAACTTCTTCAGTTATAAGTAAACCTCGGCCACCCCACCATGCTATGAGTTCAAGCACAGCATCAGATCTGTTAGACAATGAAAAAAATAAAAAAGACATTTCACCACCCGCCACCTCTTTGCCAACAGAAGCAACTTACAGCAATCAACTGGTGTCTGAGGATTCAAAAGTTATACCTTTCAGATCTGTTGGGCCACTCTGTTCCAAAAGGTATGTACACTAGATGAAATTTGAAATGAGATGACTTTTGAAAATGTTTTTTATATCCAGATTTCATTTTACTTTCTTGAACTTTTTTGCTGTCCCGCACATTCCTTCTGTATTGTCACCATGCATTTGTTTCATAATGGATAAAAAAAGACATTAGAATATCTTCAGGAATGGTTAAGATGTATTTGACTTTACACAAGCAACTCTGGCATCCTTATTACAAATTCATGAAGATTCCTTCTTGCATTCCAGATGTGATGAAGCAGGGAAAGGAGAAGCTGTTGCATTGGTGGGCAGCACAAATCGTGATCTGTGTCTCCATGCTATCCCATGTGAAGTGTACCAGGTGCTCATGAAATATATGACTCTTTTGGTAACACAACAGGATAATCACAGGTAATGTGGAAAATGTTCTTTAGATAATTATCACTACAAGAATGTGGTCCCAGTCCATTCATTGGTTGTGATTGATACAGAGAGTGCACATACACATTCAGTGTTTCTAATGGTCTGCTTTACTTATTTTATTTTACATGTTAGCCTTATGAGAGCTTAGTCACCAAGGAGTTTGTTGGACCTAAGTGTCCTCAGCTTATTATTTTTTTTTTTCTTATATAACTGAACTTATTAATATTATTCAACTATAATAATGATGATAATAGTAATAGAAACAATCATAATTGTGATAATGTCCTCAGCTTATTATTTTTTTTTTTCTTATATAACTGAACTTATTAATATTATTCAACTATAATAATGATGATAATAGTAATAGAAACAATCATAATTGTAATAATTACAACAAGAATGAATGTAGTTATAAGGATAGTAACATTAATGATAATGATGATGATGATGATGGTGATCATTATAATGATAATCATAATAGTATTAAGGATAATTATAATGAATAAGTAAGTGAAAATGATGATGATAGAAATAAAACTTTGCCAAAAATATGAAGGTCCAATAGACCCAACAACTGAATTCTTGGTGACTATGCTAAGTCCTTGTGGAGCCATCTCTGCATAGAATGGTCGATATACTTATCAACTTAGTAATGTACTTATTAAGAACTTTTATCTTTACCTAAAATATTATACAATTGCCTTGAAATATTCTCGGTTTTATTTGCATTTGTTTTTGTAGACTTAATTTTTCCACAACCTCTGTGTTATTGCCACAAGTTTTACCTGTCCTCAGTATGGATATTAGCTGGAAAAGTTCATACCTTGACAAGTAAATTACATACACTTTCTCATTATGTAATTTTTTTCAGTGTCTGCTGTGGCAGTTCAAACCTGCCCAAATTACTGAATTCTAAGGAGGTACAAACCAGTCCTATGTCTGAAGCCACTGAGGAGAAAATGCATGTAGAAAAGAAATTACAGTTAAAATCCAGTGATAGCACCTCCCTCGTTAAGCCCAACTCTGAGAGTGACAGTCAGGTGATTCCTAATAGCTGTGAGACTCAGGAAATGGACATAGCAATTCCTCTGCCAGCTTCTATTGGAGTGAAGACAAAAGCTAGAAAAGATGCTGCTGCTGACACAGAAACAGTAGTAGAAGCAGAAAATGACAGAAGTAACTTGATTTGTTTAAGAGAAGAGGAAAATAAAGACACGGTTACAGTGAAGAGTGCTCTGTCATCAGAAATTTCCCTTGATAAGAACTGTTTGATGCCTCAGAAAAAGAAGTTTGATAATGCATCCTCAAGTCAGAATAGTGACTCCCAGAGTTCTCAGATGTCAACCAGCTTGTTAGCTGCTCCAGATGTCATTGAAACTAAACATGGTAGGCTCACTAGAAGCACAAATAGTTCAGGTGATGCAAATAGCCAAGCAGGGGAAGGTAGGTCAGTAGAAAAATATGACAGGGGGCAGCATGCAAGTCAGAAAGTCAAGGAAAGAGCTGGTGTAGGCAAAACGATGGTGAGCAAGAATAACTTGGTCGAGGTGGAAAAGGAAAATTTAAAGAATGATAGCACTTTACCTGTTGCCATTAGCAGGCCAAGAAGAAAGCCTCTCCAATCAGGTCAGCCAGTCATAGAAAATATCATGTCACAGTTAACCAAAGAAGAAAAGAGACAAGTAGCGGAAAAGATTGAATTGTCACAAATTCAGAACCAAAGTTCTCATAATATCCAGAAATCTCTGAGCACTCAGAACAGACCTGCCAATAGTAAACCTTTATTTATGAGTGATGAATCCAGCCATGCAAGTAGGAAACAGAAGGATGTGTTGACAGTAGGGTCTAAAAACTTGGAAGAGGAGCAGGAGGAATCAGACAGTGACAGCCCCCTGAAGGCTTCCCTAGAATCAAAAAGACAAACTTTCAAGAGGATCCGCAGACCGAGTTCTGGGTCAAGTTCTGATGATAGCGACTCAGATTCAGTCCAGCCACGAAAGAGAAAGGCTAAAACTATCTCCAGCAGTGACAGCATACAGATGTCTGGACGTTTCAAGGAGGGAAAGAGTAAGGAAAACCTGGAACAACACCAATTGGATTCAGAGGAGATGAGAGACTTGGAGAGACTGGACAAAAATGTGTGGGAATTCTTTGGCCACCCTGATGAGGATTTGCTAACCAACAAGGACGATGATGACAAGAGTTCACATGTAAGTATAGATGACCCGTCGCAGAAGAAAGACATCATTGAATTTGAAAATGATGCCCTAGTTCCATCCCTCCCATCAGATGAAGATATTCCAAGCACTGAGGATGTAATGCGTAATGTCCAGATGGACATGGATTTAGTGAAGAAGATGCGCCAGCAAGGTCAAGGAGACCCTGAAGTGATCTCCCTGATTTCTCAAGAGATACAAGAAACAGCACCTTCTACCCAGAAACCTACGTTTTCTGCTAGCACAAAGTCATTGTTTAACAAGGTTGACAAAAACCTGACAAAGGCTGAGGATCTGCTCTGTAGTGGCAACAGCCTGTTTG